AGTCAGGCTAAGAGCTGGAGCTGAGGCGGGTTTTAAGCCTCTTCACAAACCGTTACATCGCACCCGCCTGTTAGTCAGGCCAGCTACACGCCTTCTATTAAATGAACTCTTATCCTTCATCAAAAAATTCACCCCTCGTACAGTGTGTGTTGATCGAGACATGAGCTAATCAGAACTATTTGGTTTTTGAACCAGGCTGTAAACATGTTCATCTCTACAGGCTTTTTTGAATGGGTGCGTATTTGACTTCCTGTGTTTCTGCAGCCAGCCTCTAGTGGATACTCAAGAAACTGCAGGATTTTACACTTCAGTATCAGCTTCATTTTTCTACACTGGAGGTTGCTGCGTTGTATCGCCCTGATCTTCACCTCACCTATGACCTCATTGTACATTTGTAAATGTATTGACTGATAGTCCCTTGAGATGAATCACGACTTCAAGGGGCTCAAACACAAAACATATAACATCAAGTGACCCAGACGCTTTCATCAACACATACAGAGGCTCTCATACACCAACCCACCGGCATATTATTCTTGTATCAACACCACACCCACACAATGTGAACAGGAACGAGATTTCACATCACATATCACACACATAACATTGACAGTATTGACTCTAATGGTACTACTGATGGTAGACCTCTAAGACCTTTGGTGCATCAGGTAGCTCAGTCTGTAGGGACTTGGGATGGGAGCCGTAAGGTCAGCGGTCTCGGTGCAGACCAAAATATGGAAGTCGTCTTAGTGGTTAAGACCACACTAACCAAGACCAAGACATACCCAAGACCAGAGTGCTCCAGGACCGAGACAAGACCAAGACATTTAGGTAGATCGGTCTTGAGACAAGGACCGAACTCAAGTACTACATCACTAGTCGGTCTGGTAGCTGGAGAGGAGCTAGTTCACTTCTCGAGTGCTGCTGAGGTGTCCTTGAGCAATGCAACGACCCCCCACAGCTCTGGTATGCTCCCTGTGCAGCAGCCCCCCCACTCTGACATCCCTCCACTAGTGCAGGTCCACAGGTCGTGTTTGTGCATGTGTGTTTATGTCAGCGTATGTGTGTGAGAAGCATGTCTTTCAATAAACACCAGAACTTCCCTCTGGGATTAATAAAGTAAATAACATTTGAAAAAAAAGGGGGACAGGAAGAGTGTTGGAAGCAGCGACAGGGCGATTTTAGAAGACATAATAATGACATTTTAAAGGTATGAAATGACTTAAATGTTCTTAGTTTATCTGGCTCACAGCTCTTCTCTGCAGCTTGAAATCAGAATGAGTGTTAGTTTGTGTAACGTTGCTGTGACCTTCACCTGACCTGTGACCCTGCTACCTGTTAATTATCAACCGACTTTTACTTTGCATCTTGTTAAAAGTGATTGCTAAGCTTCAACAGGTTTCTGTTTTTCTTTCTGCACCTGAACTGAATCTCTTCGGCCCAAGATCAACTTTAAAAGAAAAAAATGTGTTTTGAAAACTGTGAAAGCAAACACCACGATAATGCTTCCTCTCCTGAGCCAAATACGTTCCATCGTACAGTCAACACACCTCCCGGCCCAGATTGCAGTTTCGGGGCTGTAGAAATGGAGATAGGAATGCAACTACACTTGATAGTCCAGATAACAGAGGGGCCGAGAAAGCCTGCCTAAAAGATTCCTTTGTTTGGAGCCAGCAGGGCCCGAGCTGAGTGCCAGGCATTAAAGGGTCTGTTGTCCGTCAACAACAGTATCACAAGCCGACATGCAAGACTCAAAGTAGCATCAAGATGTAGCAGGCGCAGGGGTCAGACTTTGTTTAGTGCAAGTGAAACGAGACGAAATGAAACCAGGTTAAAATTAGTTTTAATGATGTTAAAACTGAATGTTTCACTCTAACTATAACAACTAAGTATGTTTGAAAAAAAGTTTGCACTCATTTTCAACAACGACTGCATGTTGTATTTATGTGAATGAACGACTTTGAATCCTTTCACACTGACAGGTATAAACATTAACAAGTTTAAAAACTTTTGCACTTTTGTTTCGGTCACTTGTTTGCTCAATATCCTGCTGCGTTCTCACATCAGCTCATCTGACTTTCTGCAGAATAAATACGAGGAGGCTGGAGGAAAACTCCGGGTGAAGTCCAAGTAAAAGATGTGTCTGTTTGCGTTCACACATGCAGCTCCTCCGGTAAATATCAGGAGTTTTTCAAGTGTGAAATCCCTGTAAGTTACAAACTAATGTTCATCTTCTGGATCCTTTGGAACAGCTGCAACTCAAATGTCACTTCTGCACGCCTCCAAACAAAATCTTGATATAATTCACAACTTTTAGTTTATTACATGAAACCTCCGATAGGTGTCCTGTAGATCCTGTATAAACAAAGCACGCTCGTGTTCACCTGAAAACAGTTCTTTATGACCTGCTGAGTTTTCTTTCAGGCGTTGCTGTGACGATGGAGGTATTTTACATATTCACAAAGAGAGGAGTTCTCTTGTCGTTAAGTGTCAAAGTGTAAAGTGTCTCCAAACGGGCGCTTGATCCCAACTTTGTTTTCATCAGCTTTTAAGGACGTTTCATGCGATGTGGTGTGTCGTGGTCTGACCTTTCACCCCGCTTTGATCCCATAAAACAAAATGTAAAAAAGGTTATAGAGAAGAAGAACTTGTTTGCCTACCCGTACACTTCACCTTACTCTCTGAGCCACCAGATAAACATCGGTTCAGGTCAATGTGTGTGCACCAACTGGAACCATCATTGAAAGAATCGGAGAAGATTCATATCAGACGGGTAAACAAGATGAGAACCACATCTGTGTGGCATGCACATTACCTCCACGGGACCTTCTCTCTATGTGAAAGTTTGTGTCGCAAAACAACATTCTCCCAGCCACACATCAGACCTTTTAGTACCACATGAGCTGACTTGTGCATTGAGATCGTCTTCTGGTCGTTCATGAAGAACGTTCTCTGTGAGAGCTCCTAAACTGTGCAAAGACCTGCAGGAGGAGACCAGTGACCTCTTTTTTTAACCCTTCTTGAGAAACACTTTTACCCACGAGCCTTTCCAGGTTTTGACTGAATTAACATTTGTACTTGAATTTTACTTTTTGTTTGTTTTCTAGGACGTATTAGTCTGTTTTTTGCGCTTCTCCTCTCTGAGCTTCTGAAGTGTAAACACGATGCATACCCTGAAGGTGTGCAGCCTTTTCATTCACATTTCATATCTCTGCTTCGGCGCTCTTTATGTTTGTGTTTCTACCGGCATCAACAGATGTGCTCAGTGTTTTCTCAGAACTCATTCTTATATCACGCCTTCCTGTTTTTAATACGCACTCTCAGCGAGGTGACGTCCTACTTCCTTTGATCCTGTTGGCGTGCAGGAGGCTCGCTCTCTGCACCGCTACGAAGGCTGACCTTTCTCCCAGACTGCACAGCCTCTTTCTGCTGCATCAAAGAACATAGAGACTTTCACACAGGGCTTGTTGTTAAATCTCATGAAATTGTCTGAAACATAAAGATGATCTTACTTTAAAGTAACTTTGTCCTTTATAAATGCACTTTCCTTTTCTTATGTTTCCTTCAAATGAACATGTTTATGTCAACAAATATTCTGCATAGAAGAGAAAGAAAGGATGTCATATGTTTCATATGGTGTCTCTGCTGTCATTCAAGTCTCTGAAAGTTTTCCATATTTCTGTGTAAAATCTCAGCTGTAGTTTGAGATATCTCAGTCAAGTTAGTAACAATGACAGAGCCGTTTGAAAGCTCGGGGTGTTTGCAGGCGCTGTCCTTATTGCTAACAAGTAGTTAATCTGTAAGCACCGAGCACTCCCTTTACTCTGCAGGAAGGAAGGAAAACTGGCTTATCAGAAACTCGACCAAATATGGAGAGGTGAAACTACCAAGTGCATGAAGTAATGCAAGATATGAATCGAGGGCGGAGCCTACAGCCTCAGATTAACCTATATTTTTATCAGTAAATGATTACACATCATGCTGGAAATGCTAAATACATTTCAAAACTTTAAATTTCAAGCCATAATCCACCAAAGTGGCATGAAAATGTCAGGGGGTGGTGCATTGGTATTGGTTGAAACCTCTGGAATGGCCTCATTAAAATGCTAATTAGCGTCTGTTATGTCACCGCGTGCTGCAGAGTGAGTCAGGGTCAGGTTAGGTATGGGTTATCTTTCCAGGAATGAAAACATGCAACATAACTTGTGATGAGGCAAGGCAGAAAAAAAATATGTAAAACATGCATTGTAACCGCACACCTGGAGCTGGCAGGAATGTTTTCTGCAGGTGCGCACACACACACACACACACACACACACACACCCTTGCATGTGTGTTCGTCAACCGTGAATATTTCCTTCCTGCTGTACAAACATCTACAGTTACACACGAGTGACCCGACTGGTCTGACTGGACTCAGTGCAAACATGGCCGCTCTGAACTCTAGCTGCTCTTGGACAAACAACCTGCAGCACAGTGAAACTTTTTTTTTCACATCTTTTTTCTGTGATGATGTTTGAAATTACCTCGAAACTGTGCTTGGGCTCAGAGACTCTCTGTGTGTGTTTGTTTATTGGGTGGTCCCGTAAATTCCTACAGTACCTTAGGCAGCATTTATGTTTGTCCGACTATAACCGGTTTGAGACAATGGCGATTCTGTGGGATAACAATAGGTGGAAATCCAGCTGCCGAGAAGTGTGTGCGCAATCCGTCCACATGATGAGCCACAGGAGAAATGTGAGAATAAAGGAAACTGCGAGGAAGCCTTTTCGTTTCCACATTAGCTGACACTTCTTGTGCTTTTTACATTTCATTCATTCTCTCTCTCTCTCTCTCTCTCTCTCTCTCTCTCTCTCTCTCTCTTTTGACTCTCCTGTCTGCCCTCCTCCCTCCCTCCCTCCCTCTCTCTCCACCTCTCTCTCCCTCCTTGCTCAACCTGCTTATCTGAACTGGGCAGGGCTCGATACACTCACAGCACAGGGGGAGGGCCTTGTCTGCTTTCAATCAATAACCTCTGGAATTCAGAAATACAAGTAGGTCCTGTCTCTGGCAGGCTGTAACACACCGTGGAGGGCGGGCTCCCAGGCACACTCGACGACGGCTCTTTCTGCTCCTGGCTTTCTGTGTGAGTGTTTCCTCAGGTCTTGACTGTGTTGTGAGTCCATCACAATGGCTAACCACACTTCTCCAGACTACTTCAGCTGCACCCTGTGTCAGAACCTCCTGAGGGACCCTGTGGCGATCCCCTGTGGCCACAGCTTCTGCATGGACTGCATCAGCGGCTACTGGAATGAAGCTGACTACACAGGGATTTACATCTGCCCCCAGTGCAAGATCACCTTCACCCAGAGGCCTGTTCTGAGGCCCAATGCTACTCTGAGCATGGTGGCGGAGAAGATCAAGAAGAGCGGGCTGACCCTTAACCTCAGCACCTCCCAGGGGAACATCTACGCCGGGCCCGGCGACGTCGCCTGTGATTTCTGCTCTGGAAAGAAAATGAAAGCTTTGAAATCCTGCCTCAACTGTCTGGCGTCCTACTGCGAGAAACATTCAAAGCCTCACTACGAGTCAGCCACCTTCAAGAGGCACAAGCTGGTGGACGCTCTGGCCAACCTGGACAGGAAGATCTGCCCGCAGCACCAGAAGTCCCTGGAGCTGTTCTGTCGGACGGACCAGATGTGTATCTGTGCTATCTGCACAGTCAGTGAACACAAGGGTCACGATATTGTGTCTGCTGAGGCTGAGAGGGGAGAGAAACAGGTAAGAAGGGCTCCTGGTCCAAGATATTTACATTTTATAGCCGACATAAATAAAACCCTCTTTAAGGGAGCTTTTAAGAGAATGAAAGTGGGATCAAAGGTCAGAGGAGACCCTGTGTCTAAAGGTTGATCCTTTTTAATACACTGACTAAGTACAGACAAAATGTGGTTCAGGAGGGTTTGAAAAATCAATTCCAGTCTTCTTTTTAGAGAATGAAAGTGTGATTTCCCGCTCAGAGAGGTCACCAGTGACACTGTTTGTAGAGACTGATCCTTAGAATAGACGTAATACATTCAGGTGTGTCTGCTTTTTAGACAATGAAAGTGAGATTCAGAGATCTTGTTTCTGGAGATTTATCCTCTAAAAAAAAGACTCCATAAGTTCAGATAGAGTTGTTTCCGGCAGGATCTGCAGAGAATGTTTTCTACATGGTCAGACAGATATGAGGTGTTCCTGTTCGATTGATAGACCTCGTTCCATGAAAGTATGGAAGTTTGGTTCAGGACGTGTTCGAATTAGATTTTTCAGTCAGCTGTTTCGAGAACAAAAGTGTGACTTCAGAAAGAAAAGGTACGCCGTGACCCAGTTTCTAGAAATATTTCTTTGAAACACGCTTTCAGAAGGTTTTAAGAGACTAAAGAGCGTGATACACGGTCAGGAAGATTGTTGTGGAGGTGTGAGAAAACTAAATGAATGAACGCCTTACATCAGGTCAGAGAGATACACAGTGATCCTGCTTCTAGGGATGGATCATTTTAAAAGATTAAATAAACCGAAGCTCGGAATTATGAGGCTTCAGATGCTTTAGAAATCACTTCAAGTTGGCTTTTGAGAGAACAAGGGAGTATTAGCAGGTCAGGAAGATAAGCAGAGATCCTGCTTCTAGAGGTAGATCATTTTTAAAAAGACTAAACGTGTTAAGGACCAGGAAAGGTAGGATTCAGGGGGGGGTGTTTTGAAGTCTGCAACAGGCTGCTTCTGAGAGAGTGAGTGGATTATTTCTGTCCCTCTGTCTGAGGATGGATCCTTTAAAAAGAGCTAAACGTAGGGGGGATAGCAGTGTGATTTCAGGTCAGACAGTTCACCATGGTCCTGTTTTTTAAAGGTGTATCCTTTTAGCAGTCTGAACCCTTATAGGTAGAGGAAACGTGTCATTCAGGGGGGTTCGTAAAAATCAGTTTCTGTCAATGTCTCAGAGAGTGAAAGTGTGATTTCAGGTCAGACGGATAAGCAGAGATCCAGCTACATGAGAGAAACTACAAGCTGAAGCTCCTCTGCCCACCGCTGAGAACGTTTACAGACGAAGTAACTTTAAAATAAAAAAAGGGAATCCTTGATTTATTAGAAATATGTAGTCAGCGGTTGAAGCTGAAAGCAAACAGGCTGTTTGTTTTACCCTAACTCTGCTCTCAAACTGGCAGCTGTACTTTGACCCATTTCGCCAGCGCTATCAGCTAAACTGGCAGGCTTTCACCGCCAAAACAAATCCAGCTCTCTGATTAGCTGCAGGAACGCCGGGGGAGTGTCTCCAAGCAGTTATCGCCTTTTGAAAGCGGATTTTTTTTTTTTTTTACTCCATTGCCCAGAGAATGTTGTGTTTTCCAGCTGTGGGATAAACACACAGAAACTACAAACACACACTTCATGTCTGCTTCCTTCTTTTGGTTCCCACCTGTGGGAGTGGATCAGTAATGATGCAGGAATGTCAGGGAGGGGAGTCAAGGCCCAATCACATTGTCGTTACCACGGCGACGGATGTTCAAATGACTCACCTGACTCCTCGGCTGTAAAGCAGCAGATAAGAGTGTCAACAGATACTGCAGGATAAATCTCAATGATGGTTTCTCTGCATGAGTTATTTAACTACAAGTGTTTTTATGGCAGCCTGACGGAGTTGTTATTCAGTTTTCTGCTTTTTTACTCCAGAAGTCTGGTTTCTCTCATCCAAAAATGTACAACCTGAATCACACATCTCACTCCATCTCCCGCTCTCTCTCTCTCTCTCTCTCTCTCTCTCTCTCTCACTCCCATCCCCCTCCTCATGTTCTCCCTCCCTCCCTTCCTCCCTCCCTAGATTCCCCACATTCCTCAAGCTTATCTTGAAGAATGGGTCGGTGGGCTTGAGTAAAAGCTGAATTAGAAGCCCCTCTATTCTGCATGTCAGCCCTGCATGCACCTTGAAACATCTCTTTAAAAAGTCAAGCAGCGGTAGATTCACATTCCTGACGTGAACTGAATTCCATAACAGATTTTTCTCCCCCACCAACTCTCCCTGTGAGATGAAAGCCAGCGGCATTAAGAAGATATTCTTTGAGTAGGGTTTATTAGACGAGACGAAGGGCCTCCCCAGATATTCCTCCATGAGAAAGAATGTTTATACTGGCACTACAAATGTGAAGCTTGAGATCTGGTACAATAAAACAGCATGCCGTTCGACTTCTACTTCTGCAGAAATTAATTAAGGGAGAGTGAGGGTGGGCGTGCATGCTAAACAAAACAAAAAAATGTAACATGATTTTTTTTTTGTCTGCAGAAACTCCTGGGAATCTCCCAGGCTGAGATCAGACAGAAATGTCAGGAGAGGGTGAAGGAGCTGGATGAGCTGAAGACAGCCGTGGATTCACTCAAGGTCAGTCAAGTCACCTGATTTAGAGATCCTCCTTTTGAGGTTTTTAGATTCTAAAATATAAAATACAAAAAGGGAAACATTAGGAGAGTGGTAAAGAAGAAGTGAGCACCTCGACAGTGCTCAGGAAATGAACTGGCACCTCTCCAGCTAATCTAAACTTGTTCCGCACCGGGACTTGAGCCGGCGACCCTCTGGTTCCCACCCCAAGTCCTGGGCACTGACCTGCTGCTGCCGCCTCCAGGGAGGGGCTTCACAACCAGGCAAAGTAAAAGAAAAGTAACTGGAGTAAAAAGCGGAGCTCAAAATAAAACTTCACAAAACTTTGAAAGTACATACATGCACCAGCAGCATGTGAACACACAGAGTAATCCCGCCCACTTCAACTCGACCTTCTGTTATTGGTTGTCCATTTAAGTCAGACCAAAAGGCTGATTGTATTTAGCTTCCTTAATACGGCACATTTTTAAAACAACAGGCATCAACCTAAAGAGCTGAACAGTCCAGGCAAGTGGGTCCAAACTCTCTGTACAGGTGAATACAAGAATAATATATAAGACGCAATCATGCATAATATGATAGGTATAGACGATCCAAGCCAACAGTCATAAAACCAAAGACTTTGATGCTGCTGTGAGACTGAAACAACATAGAGGGCTTACAAGGAGAGGAAAGACTTGTCTTATGTTTCAGTTATAAACTTTCATCATGCAAACAGACGAAGACGCTGCTATGACATAAGATCCTGCAGCTCATTCAAAATGCAGCTAGATTTCTCACCAGGACCAAAAAAATTGAGCATGTTACTCCGATGTTAAAATCTCTGTGCTGGCTCCCAGATCATAGATTTTAAAGTGTTTTTACTCGTCTACAAGTCACTGACGGGTACAGGCCCAGAATACATTTCTAATGCCTTGCCTAAGATGTCGACTGTAATGTGTTTTGTAAAAATTATCTGTTAATCTTCCCCTCTGTGCAGAACTCGGCTCAGAGAGCCATGGTGGAGAGTCAGAAGATGTTCGAGGACATGATCCGCTCCATTGAGAGGATGAGGTCAGAGGTCACCAAGCTAATTGGAATCAACGAGAAGGCGGCTTTCAACCAGGCCGAGGCTTTGATCGAGAGGCTAGAACAGGAGATCGACGAGCTGAAGAAGAAGGAGACGGGCCTCAAGCAGCTGTACAGCACTGAGGATCACATCCACTTTCTGCAGGTAACAGACCGTTTTGAGCCGACGCACGACTCAATAAAGAGCTTTTACTGCAATGTAAATACTTTATGGCCAACTTGTTATGGCCTAAATAACAAAGTGCATGGTCTAATTAATATAAGAAAGGATATTATAAGAAAGGAGTTCATCCAGCAATCACAATCACTACAGAACACCCACCCACCCCCCACCCACCCCCCTCAAACCTCACAAAATGACTTTCGATGGCTGATCGGTCTTGAGGCCAAAGACAGATTTCGAGTACTACAATGCTCATGTGGGTTTGTGCTTTTGATTTGAAGAGGATTTTGTTTTAGACATTTTCACTTTTTGTAAGACATTGAGGACACAGAGAGGAAGTGGAAGAAAAGAAATGACGGTGTGAGACGTAAGAGGGCACATGACCGGGACCGAACCCTTAAGATTGTGTAAATTGTTCTGTAACCACCCAACAGACAAGACGCTCCCTTTTTGTGATTTTGAATGAGACACCTTTCTCATTATCATAATGATCATTACAATCAATCAAGACAATTAAGTCCTTTGTATACAACAGACACAGTCATAACACAGTTTAAACAAGTAATACAGGAGGTGTGAGTGGCAGCTGTTATATTACTCACAACTGTCGAATCCAATTTTCCATTCAAAGTGTCTCAGTGTGTGAGTCCAGCTCTTTAGGGAGATCTTTTATAAAGTTTAAAGGTCACATATTATTCAAAGTCCACTAAAGCCCTTCCAGAGAGTGGGCGTGGTCAGACACAGCTAATTTATATTTAAAGGTACAGACACAGAAACAGTCTGTTCTGAGCAGGGCTGAAATAGAGGGGTTTATAGACATGATCAAATACAGGATCAGAGTGGATTTAGAACAAGACACTTCACAGACAGGTTTTGAGGAGCTCTGAGACTTATTTACACTGGTTGAAGAGGAGGAGGATATGTGACCGTCAACACCTGGACAACACTCTCTCAGACAGTTCATCTTGATGTATATCTTTCCCGCTTTTCTTTTACCCATCAGAACTTCAACTACCTGTGCACGCCCACTGATGACGGCTTTATCCCCAAAGTGACTGTGAACCCCGACTTCTCCTTCGGGGCGGTGAGGAAAGCTGTGGCTGAGATCAAGGATCGCCTGGAGGAGTTTGGCCGAGAGGAGCTGCTGAAGATCTCTAAATCAGGTTCGACTGCTCAGCAGCAGAAAACACAAAACACCTACAGTATGGACAATAAGATAAGTTTTCTAATGCAATTGTGTTCCGTCTTCTAGTGAACGAGGTGCCCGTGTACACGACAGAGAGCCGGACGCTGGACAGAAGGAGCAGAGGTGAGTGCTGTCACGTCCTGCAGCTATTTAAGGTTGTAGGTGGGAGGTTAATGATTGTTTAGGTTGATAATGTAGAGCAAGGCACGGCACAGAGCGATTGCATCATAGAGTCTGAGGTTGAAACACATCATCACAGGCATTACAGGCATGTGTCGGGGTGTGTGTAGTTCGCAGCAACCTAACTGTGTTTCTTTATCTTTCAGGAAAGGAGGTCATGACGGTGGACAACACTCCTCCTCCCGAGCCGAAGAACAGAGCAGACTTTGTGAAATGTAAGTGTGTCTTTGGCTTGAGATGAACCATTTAGAAACTGCTGTTTGCTTAGGGAAACATTTTATTTACAAAAGGTAAATAGCGTAATATGTGGTCCTCTACAAAATGACAGTACAGTAAAAATCAGAGCAACAACAAGAGGAAGAGACACTGCCTCTAAAAAAAACCTC